GTCAACTGCCGATTGGAATGAAGAATAGCTGAGCAAAGTGGACGAAAATTGGTACACCTAGTGATAACGGATGCACATTACAGGACACGACCAAACCATCAAGCTCAGAGAACAAAACTCCATCAAAAAGTATAAACGTCACTTGAAGTTAATTTAAGTCACAATAGAAACTTGATTTTTATTTGTTTTAATTCATATGAACACATGTGATTGTGATTGTGATAAATACGATTAACAGACATCTTATTTACTGGTGATTATTTGAATTCAAATATACTGTAGTGAACGAGAACACAAGTAAGGACAATCGAATGTATTTGAATACAAAATTACAAAATCTCTTAGTAAAATCTAAGATCCATACAATGAATAGTTCATTTGCAAAATGTCAATCAGTTGTCTCAGACTTCATTCTTCTTTCGTTTCCATAGCAACCATTGACTGTTCTCGTTTTCTTTTCTTCGATCATCTTTATTGTCTACCTCCAGGTATTTCAGTTTCGATTGATGATGCATATTACCTAAATGTCTGTCGACATCAGTAACACACATAACAATATAATATACAAAATACCGATTCTCTGATATTAGATAGACAAAATAAGGAATGGTATCTCCGTTACATAACTAACCAGAAAATAATCCGAAATTGACCTTAAAATTCTTTTAACGGACTTAAGGCAATGAAAATACAAATATGTTAACTTAGTAGCCTTTAGCTAAATTTACAATAAAATTCGAAAAGATATGCAGTGTTTTATTTGATTCTTCAGTCTTTTTTGGGGGAAATGTTTTGGTATTCATTTGAGTACAAACTCTTTTTAATCTGAATAGTTCCTAAGATCATAGGTAGTTTACAAACGATTGGTTAAGCGAATTTTTCGATATGTAGATGAAGAATCATTTGAGAATAATAATTAGGATGCCATATATATTATCTGTCATAAAAATATGGTTATTAAACCTTCGTGGACAAAATGGTCATCTGAAACAGTGAGTTGATAGCTCAGAATTATATTGATAACATCATTATCCATCAGAATTAAGGGATATCAAGCTAATATAATCCTAAAGAATGAATAGTACATTGTAGAGTTTGCTTATAACTACCATTAAGCATTTTCTTCAAAGCATCAAATTGTGTTTTAAAAACTCAAGAAGCATCTAGCATTATAAGTACTGAATATTAACTGATAAAAATACTTTTATACATACATATAACTTAAACATTACATGGTGAACCGTTGAAATCAGTTAAAAGAATTTGTACAGACTAGATAGATTACGGTTAAGGATTGAAATTCAGAATATACGTTTCATCCTATTCTGAGCTCATCAACTGATTTACCATGGTATTGATATCCAAATTGGAACTCAGACCAAGTAACTTTTGAAATGCAACAAAATTTCTACTGAGCTACTGAATCTATATAACCACCAACTTGTTAAGTAGGTACAACTTTTATATAATCGTTAATAAGGATTTGAATTATCCCGTAGATGACATTCATGACTAGACCTTCATCAGTTTTTATTGCCTAATTTACACCATTAGAAGATAGCTTTCATAGGATTTTCAATATTGATAGATTGTAGCTGTTAGTAGAATTCAAGACATGTGTTTCATCCTGTTTGGCACTCGTTAGCATGCTGATAACAGCCGTACTACATACAATCAAATACTTTAGAATATCCGTTATTGAAAACATTCAACCAAAGTAGCAATTACATCTCACAACTCAGTCTTAGCTTTAGTTTTGTTTGTATAGGTAAATTATGTTTAAAGATTTCAAGAAATTGTTAAAATCATTATTTCATTTAAATAAACTTTCATGTTACGAAATACTATCAATACAATTTCTTTTATGTTTAGGGCTGACTTAGACCAAAAAAATATTGAAAGTTTATTGTTTTCGAATTATTAGTATAGGACTCCTCTGAAGTGCGCATCTACGATCCCACCTGCGGGATTCGAACCCACTGCTGATGAGTCTCATACTAAGACGAAACGGTTGTCTAGTGCTTCCAGGTTTTTCATGATGATCTTGCTTTAATTGATTCATGAATTCAACCATTACATTACTATAATATCCACAAAATCTTCTTTCTAATAGATTTGTATAAGTGAAAACATTTGTAAAACAAACAAATTACCACAGTTTACTCATGATCGACTTAGTAGACAAAATGATGATTAAACCTCAAGCATGTACATAGAAAACTATACGAGATGGTTGTTTATTGTGTACATATTTTTGTTTCAAAAATATTTGAGTATTCCTTATGTTCAGAGGACCGATGTTTATTAGGACCCCATGTACAGATGTATACTTTGAGACCAAGCAGATGATAAATATGTTTATTTAGTTGTCATAAGTCGAATCATTCAGTGATAATTAGATTAAATTATGATGAAATATTCGAATTACTCTGAATTTCATTCACTGTGTTCTATTTTGTTGGATGACTGATTTATGCTAGTGTATTTTATAAGTCTGTGTAGTAATTTCGGGAACTCATAGCTTTCACTTGATTAGTCATATTAATGAAGATACTAAATCAAACAAATTGAGTTATATATTAATTTCAATAGTTGAATTTTTAGCGTGGCGTCGAGTCGCGGTTGACTATGATCACCACTACAGGAAGGTTGCGTACCAAATATCAGAAGGCAATTGAAGGTTGTAGCTAAGTATATTTGTTGGTGGTATCGAAAGAATATCGAGATCGTACCAAAGGAGTGCAAGCGGATTTACTGAGTAAACCTAAGTTTGCGCAAGATCACAACCAACGGAAGGAAGAATGAAAGAATAATGGATATCTTTAGTACAGTTAAACGAACAAGTACAGTAAAACAATCACTGGTACAATTGGTTATAATAATAATTGTTTCCATTAAACCAATCGCGTTCTCTTGATAAAAGTAGTCCACTACAAATTCATGAGTCAATTGAAGCTAGACCACCATGGAAAACCTGGAAGAACTGGACGGCCGTTTTTTTCTATTGTGGGACTCCTCAGCATATATATTAGGCTGAACCTATTAAGCTAGTTATCACTTACTCATTCAGTACTTGTGAAAATTAGTGGGTCTTTTAATCTAATTAGCAAGCTATTTATTCCGGTGAATGACATGATTACCTGAAAAAGTACTATTTTGGTTTCATAATTATAAATCTAATAAGGGACATATTAATTAGTTCATTTCTATTCAAATGAACACAAGTCTAGCAACAATATAAGATGATTAAATCTAAATCATTCAAAATGTCTAGATAAACTGTATTACAGATTGACTTCAACTAGACAAAGAGTACCATTGCAGTGAAGGAGAACACAGGTGAGGACAACCGAATTATACTTAGCACCACATCACAGAGTTACTTGGTGAAATAGAAAAATCATATTATAATACCTAATTTGCAAAATGTTCAATAATTATCTCGGAATTCATTGTTCTTGCATTTCTATGCTAATTGCTTTCTAGTCCCGTTATTTCTTTCTTGATCTTCCCAATCTTCTGCTGCCAGACGTTACATTCCTGACTTGTGTTATATACTACTTATGTCAATATAAGTAGCACGCACCACACCATATGGCTAAACAGCTGAAACGGAATTTCTCTGTAACGAACAATAACTATTTAGTAAGAGATAAAGTTCAGAACTAATAGGTACGTTGGATTCGGACTATTAAATTGATATTAAATCCAATCAATTTTCGTGTAGAGGCTTCAGGATATTTTTCTCTATATCATTTCATAATAACGATTCTCTGATTAGATTCATGAAGTATTCGCTGGTATAAAAGCATTGTTAGGTTTAACTGCATTATTAATAATCATCATATACACATAATACAAATGACCTGGAAACAAATCCATAATCTTCTTGAGTTCACGACATCAATTTAAGTCGTTTGTTTACTAAAAAAAACAGTAAAACAATATTTATGTTCAATCAGATTATTTTGTCATTTGAGTCGAAGGTAGTTGGTATGAATGGATAAAACGGTGAGAAAGTAAAGGTCTAATGCATGTGTTAATTTTTCTCAGTATCATTTTGATTTAGCTACGTTTGTTTATTTTAATTAGCGATTACAAGTTGTTGGTAAGTAATTAAAGCTTAGTAAACATTCACTAGGAGATCTAAAAGTCCTAGATCCAACCTCTAAATGAGTCATAGGTGTTTAATTCTGGTTATTCTTATACTAGAATTAAACAGCCGTTTATTATTCTGTGATCTTCAACGGTACTTCAGTTGATATCGACTTTACAACTTACAAATTAAATCAATATACATGATACCCTTCATGACTGAATGTTAATAGGATATGTTCAAATTAATCAGTTCAAACAAGTGTATCCTATTACAACTGGATACTATTTAAATAGATATGTTGTGACGTTTATAAACTTCGGAAATAGTATTCATCTTGGACTGACTTCAGTATTTCATTACGTTAGCTATATACTTTATAACCAAACATTAGTTCACTTAATGATTTATTCAATGATGTTTTGTTTTTTCTGAAATAGAAGTTAGTCATTTCTGTCCATCAACTACCTGAGTATTCATACTAGAAAGCATGTAACATTAACATTTTAATTGATTAAATATGTAAACTACATCTTGGACTCATTTTATAATTAATTAATAATTCATTCCTTGACATTTATGCTATGACAGAAATTCATTTGCTTTTACTACTAGAGATTTTTGAAAAACTCCATTACCATAGTTTGTATCATGAACGGACATCATCTAGGCCACCATTGAGAACACAGAAGCAATAGATAGGTGTTTCTTTTGAGGATAGGGCTCTTTAGCATTGAGTACGAACCACCCAACTGCAAGAAATCGAACTAAAGAAGTACTGTCTCGTACGTTAATGTTTAATCTCTAGACTATTACTATTAAATCTACTACTAATTAACTCATTTACATTTGATTGACTTCATTGTTTATTCATTTTAATTTTTATGTTTTAAAATGATAACAGAAATATTAAAGTTAATAGACAAGATCTACTTGATGATTCACCATGGCCTAAACTTGATGTTAAATTTACCGTAAAAGATGAAAATGGACAATCAGTACAAACAATATTAGAGCCAACACCAATCAGATTTGAAGCTGAATTGATTGATGAATTAAGTAAGTACAAATGAACTAAATATGTTATTATATATGATAAACTGTTGTTAGATCTTATCGTTGAATTTGTATGTCAATAACTATACTACATTATTATATCATCATGGATCTATTTACTTATGCATAGATAGTCAAAGTTTTCAAGAAGGATCTTAATGTAAATATTTAGAATACTTATTCAATTAGAAAGATCTCCTAATGGTTAATATGTTCCTTTTAAGAAACAAAACGTACGTATATAAGTAGTTTTTTTAAAATGTGACCGTTCTAATCAACAATTGGCGCTGTTATTTCATCATAGATTTTAACTCTTAATATGATTTGATCCTATTTCTAAATTGATATTATTCGCTATTATTAAACTACATTCTTCATGCAGAATAAATGGTATATCTTTATATTGTATTGTTGATGTTCACTTCAGGGCTCGAACCCAGTACCGTTCCCTTGAAAGGTCACTTAGTGGATAATATGGTGGTATTTCAAGTGAACGATACTGAGCTCCAGTCATGGAGTGAATATCACATTTGGGATGTAGTTATATCCAGTTAACAAGTTTCAAATAGGAGGAATGACATGTTCTGGATTCTACCGATAGCGAAATTCCATTTAATTTGATATCAATTTGTATTATATCAAAACAATCTACACAGGATTTAAATATGACAACTAAAAGTGATAAAATTTTAATCAAATATATTCACAACAGGATAATCTAAACTATTTACGTTTCTTTTTTTTGTGTGTGTGTTTAGTTTTTTCCATTATTGTCACTCCCTCTCTTTTATCTTTGACTTTGATTTTGTACTTTTAAGAGATTCGATGTATCCATATTTATATCAGGTTTTAAGATGTTTGTAACTAACGTAATGATCATCCCTTTTTTTATCCACCACGGATAGTATGTATTTTTCTTCCAGTTCATACTAATTCAAGGTGTAAACTGTAAGTAGAGATAAAAATTCTATGTAACCTGTCAAATTTGTTTACATAGAAAGAAGATTCTTATAATTCTCTGTCATCCATTCAGTAAAATACACACAAATTCACTGGGTGGTGATCAATCAACTGTGATTACATCTCAGTCCTGTAGAAGGTCGGTCGCGACCCAGATAGTTCAGTGGTAACGTCTCTGACTGTGAAACTGGATGACATGGGGTCAAATCCGTTAGGCAGCACCAGTTCCCTCAAGATTACAGGTACACCTTGCTGACGAGTGCCAAGTAGCACGAAACCCGGGTCCAGGGTTTCCTATTAACTACCTACAACCACCATCTTACACACAAGTTCAATTTGTAACGCTATATTAACACAATAAAATTAAATTATTAAGATAAATTCCCCTTTAGTTGGAGTTATCACAGTGTCAGTAGTAATAAACAAAAAGTTAGGGATGATAAATATGATTCAAGAAGAAAACACAGATTCCTGGAATGGAAAAAAAAGACGTTGAGATAGAAACTTGGGATTTTAAGCAGCGCTAAGAATTATTTGACTTAAGTCGTCGTGAATGATTTTGGGTAATGTCACTCAAAGCTCCTAACAATCAGTTACGACAACTCGAACGAGGCAAATTCTACCTGTTGATATTTAATTGTCATTGGCATCATGAACTGGTATGATATCTTGGCTTGGGCATTTCTAGCTTTCTAGTAGCCTATTCCAACATTAGACATTATCGCCCGTCTACTTTAATATTACTTATTTCTACAAGTACTGAGAATGAAAATGTTATGTTTTGTTTGTTTATTGATATTGAATTAGAAAACTCGCATAGCTCTGGCTTCACTGAAATCTCTTCAAACGAATAAACTGACAAAATAAATATTTGATTAGTTGTTCAGAAGGTATCATGTAGGATAAAATGATTATCAATAGAAACCAGATCAATTCAGATTTCATTTCAGTTCTGAAACAGAATAGAGAATAATGCACAAAGTACTAACAATTTTAAAATTATTCTTGATGTACATTATTGTCAATCTAGTTTCTTAGGAGAATTATGCTTCAATTAAAAATAGTCAGCTAGTTTTCAAGACTGTTGTTATATTCACAGTATTTGAGAATTTTTTTAATGACCTGTACTATTTTTAATGTGTACTACTGTGGTGCGTGCTAATTATATTGATATAAGTAGTATACGACGCGAGTGAAAAACGTAATGCCTGGCAGCAGAAGATGGGGGAAGATCAAGAAAGGAAGAGCAGGAACACAATGCAATTTGTAGAAAAACGCATGAACAATGAAATGTGAAACAATGGATTGATGTTTGCAACAGGAACAGTCCGGTTTGATATGATGAATTGATATTTTGCAGATTAACGATTTACTACATGGCGTTTCTATTTACCGAGTAACTCTGTAATTTTGTGCTAAATACATTCGGTTGTTCCCACCCGTGTTCTGTTCACTACACTATAACTTCACAACGAAAGACATATCCTGATTTCAAATTCTACTCCCAATCCCAATATATAATTGAACTTCATAAAATTGTTCTTCTGATATTTCAATAAAAAAGTACAGAGATGAAGTTTGAAAAAAAAATTAGATTTCATCAACTGCAAACAACCTCACAATTATTGAATATCAGAGAGTAATGAACAGTTATTGCAATATATTACGGAATTCGTTAGTAGTGGGCGATTCAACTGGAGATCCAACTCAAAAGAGAGGAAGGTACTCTTGAGGAACAAGTTTGAAACTTAAATATTTATCTTTCCAGCTTCCGTTACTAAATAACATGATCTATTCATTCTACTTGAGTCATATTTTGACCTTGTTGATTAATCGCTTATCAATCTTGACTGTTTTTCTATGAGCGCTTATATGTGTGTACATTTCTTATCTTATTCATCATATGTCTGTAATTTATTTTTATGTGACTATAAATATCGATTAACTCTTGACTAAACGGAGTTGGCTTAACCGCCATCTCCACTGTGCGCCGTTTCGATTCTCTCTATTCCATTCGCTTCATATACAAAATATATTCAATGTATTCAAAAGTCCATTCTCGTTATTTGACTTATTTAATTCCATTATTGACTAACGCGATTTAAGTCGATGATTATATACGAGGATAGGCAATGTATATATTTCGACAGCAATAATTCAATAACAATCATACATACGACCTACTTGGAGTCAGATCCCGGGCTACTAAAGTGGAGGACCCGTCGACAACATCGTACAATCTAATTGATGTCAAAATAAAGGGTTCCATTAAAGGCTAATTCTCAAAATACAAATCTTATCATTTTAAAATTCATTCCACTGTGACAGTATTGTCCAAATCGATCATGCGAATTACGTTTGCCTTACTTTCTAAGCTATTTCATATAAGTTGGTCTATATATATATTTTTCTTTAATATGTAACTTTTAGTGTATACCTTGAAGTTCAGTTTGCTTTATTTTTTCCATGTTACCGTATACATGTCATCCAGGCGACCGAACAAATATCAAAAATACAACAGATTACTGACTGATAATAATAATAATAATAATAATTGTCATAGAGATTGTAAATATCTTTTTTTCCTGGAGATTTCTTCTCAATAATACCGCTAACTTTTTATGTATTCAAATGTAAGGAAGAAAATTGTTGAAAGAAACTTTATATAAATATTAGAAGATATTCTTAAGAAAATATAACTGTTCGAAAACGTTTACATCAGTGAAGAGAATATGATTCATGAAGTAGTCAAATGAAGCTTTCATAGTTAGTAATCAATTAGTAGCTAGTTAGCAATAGATTGAAAACATTATCTGACAATTTCTTGGTAATTAGTACAAGAGTTGGTGAGGATAGTTTATATTAATTCAATTGATTGAAGTTAGACATTTAAACTACATTGTGGTTACTCAGTAGTTTAATGGTTAAACACCAGATACGAGATCTGAATGTTCTGATTTTATCTCTGGTAGTTGGTTTATTGTTTGACTTGTAACATGTGTGTCCTGTTAATGTATACGCAATGATACTGCCAATTAGAGAGCAGTGAATTATCGATCGGATCAACTACGCATAAAATCCGTGAGAACAGTCTAGAGCCCCTATCGGCCCTGCTTCCTACCTAGCCCAGCCAGTTAAGTCTGGAACAACAACTTCAGCCTCTGTGATATGAATCATTTATTTCAAACATACTCGATTTATATACCAACCAAACAGACCACATCGTACCAATAAAATAGGAAACAACATTTGTACGAGACCTAGTCTAATATGGCTGTGAATGTGGAAGCTAGTAATTAATAGACAGGGCATAATTCGATAATGGTAAGCCGTATAATAATGATTCATAGGTCACAATAAAGCTTATAATAAGAGGGACATGAATATGAACAGTTTAGTTAGTTAACAACCATACGACAAAAATCTACGCATAGTATTGATCCATAGATGGATCCCGAAATTTAACATTCATTATGCTTACCGAGTCATAACATTTATATACATCATTTGGGTAATCCTATATTAAGACGAAATGTCTATCCAATGACATTTCTAATTTCTGGTAGTTTTCTAGATGGAATCATTCAATGATTTACACTTCAAAATTTTGAATCATGTTTTTCTATACAAACTAGGATTAAAGAACTAACTGTTGAAGTTTGTTAGACTGAACTTCTTTAATGTTTCATTAGGTATTCTCACCATTTTACTATCAAGAGGGCGTACTTATAGTCTGTCTCTTACTTTAGGAGTTAATTTCCAGATAATAATTGTTGAAAGTTTTTAGAATATGATGAGATCACATTTATTATCCATGCACATTTTATACAGGATCAAGCTGTAAATAAGTGATTTTAATAGAAATTTTTTTCCTAAATAAACCATACTACATTATTAATGAATTCGATTCAAAGACATATCGTCATTGAACCATCCACAGTGAAAAGTTGTCTACACGAGGCTAGAGATGGATAGAATAAAGCTATTTGAAATAATTCGCAAATAGTATTAGAAGGCTGAAAACTAACTTTTCTGTCTAAAGTTATGTCGGCGGTTAAATGTCGTCTATTTTAATAACAGAAATGAAGTGCAATTAATCTTCCTTTTTAAGTCCTTCAGTGAAATCACGTTGAACTAATTTTTACGAATTAACTTCATGTTTTTCTTAATGAATCGTTATCAGCTTATTTCCAATATTCTAAAAGTATTATTTCAATTACAATAGTTTTTTGTCAACCATGATTACAAATTCCATTGTCATCAAAAAACAATGGAAGATGATCGCATAACATTGTAGATTGATTGGAATTAAACAAATGCCTCATTGAATGCCGGCTCATTGGTCAAGAGCTAAAGCGTTAATGCACGATATCGAAGGTCCTAAGGTCGATTTTCGCGTGCAGGCTCGTGGGTGGAGACTGCAAAATAGTTTTGTTATAACGCTCGGTTTTACTTAGTCTAATGTTATAACGGTTGGGTTTACACGTTTACACGTATGGGATGTTAATTTACCTTAGACGAATATCTACACTAGATTCCCTCCCAGTGTCTATTCTACAGGACTTCAACACAACTCAGATTAAGAACACGTGATTAGCCTGACTAGAATATAAATATATTTTCACACCAAACCGCGACACAATCCAACAACAATGAACAATCAACATTAAATATTATAAGGATAGGGGAATATATAACTCATTTGACACCTGTCAGACATCTATATGTTTGACTAAGCAGACAACTAATCATTACCATTCTCGCACAAACATCAAGTTTCATACTAGAACGAAACGGTTGTCCAGTGTTTCCAGGTTTTCAGTGGTGGTCTAACATTGGTTTGTTCATAACTGTAATGAAGTTAGCTATTTTCTAATGAACACTTCATTTCTTTAATTTTATAAGAATGTTAATATTTAAATGTATAATTGATAATTGGTAAAACAGTTAATCTATGTTGCACAATTTAGTGATTGTTCGAATTAAGCACCTCAATAAATAACCCTTTAGATATTTAAAGTGAAACGTACTGAATTTGAGTCACATGGTAAATCTATCTGACAAGCTCTAAATAGTATGAAATAAGGTTTTGGAATTTCATACCTATCCACTATTTAGACTTATGTAAAAGTAATTGTTTTCGCTCAATTTAAATTTATGTAGGAAGTCTATTGCATGAAAAGGATCAGTTCTCATGATCTTGGAGAGTAATCATAAGGACTTTTTAAATGAATAAATGTCTTAAAATGAAGGTGTTTTAATGAAAGAAATGTTTGTTTCTGATCATCTTAGATCCATTTTAACATTTGATGACTTGATATAAATGAATGTTATTATTTTTAACAGTTGTTCAGTAATCATCAACAATTTAGAATAGTTCTGTAGTTGCAAGAAGTTGACCGAACACCATTCATTCCAATGGTTTGTTTGTAGTTTCAATGATATTTATAAAATGTTTTAACACTAAAGTGTCTTAAAATACTCTAATTAACTAAACTATTTGTTTTTGTTATGGAAACTCTTGAATTCACTAATTATAAAGTAGACAGTATGATTGATGAATGCGGATAATCATGTTCTGGAAAAATGGTCACTATCATTTGAACAATACTTGATTAATTAAGGAGTTATGTGTATGAAGATTTTTGGCTGAAAAAATCTTTATTTCAATGGTTGAGATCATAAGTCAATTGAAGCTAGACCACCGTGAAAAACCTGGAAGCACTGGATGGCTGTTTCGTCCTATTGTAGGACTCCTCAGCAGTCTAGTGCTTCTAGGTTTTCCATGATGGTCTAGCTTTAATTGACTCATAATTTCAACCACTGAAATTACTATAATATCCACAAAAATCCTTCTGATAAAAATCCCCATTTTTTAAAAACCTTACAAAACTTTATAAATGTTATGTAATGCATAATAAATCATACAGCTGAATGACCATTTCGCTATTGTTAGAACTACTCTTTCCTATCTAAACAATATTGAACCCTAAAAATGTTCTTTTATTTTACTGTATTTGATACTATTGTATATTATATTACATAAGATCATCATTGTGAACCGATTAACCTTATTTATTAATATATTGGTTAACTTCAATTGTTTATTTTGTCTAATAATTAGAACTGAATATTTATTTTATATCCACCATTTAATTTTATAGATGTTTACAAAGCTATTACTATTGAAGAATGTTATATGATAGACAGGATAAAATCTGGTCAAAGAAATGAAGATTCAAAGGAAACTCTTTTATTATACAAAGGGTATGTAAATCGGCATATATATATATATATATATATATATATATATATATATATATATATATATGTCCGTATATAAAAAGACCAAGAGATATGTAGAGATATAAATGTGACATTACTAGTTGACAATCTCTAAGTGTTTCACAACAATAGTATATATATTTATATATCAAAATAGAGTTAAATGAAAAGTTTTCATACAATAATATCCGGATAGGCGTTAGGTGTATTAATTGTAAAACTCGTGAACTGATTAGATATGTATATTCTTATATACTACAGAAGGATAATCAGTGTTGTTTAGGTTGTGAATGTGTAATTGATGTTCTTAGACGAATTGGTTTGTGGACAATGGATGTATATTTATTCATACTAAATTAATGATAGAATACGACAGAATTCGATTGTATGAATAAAGTGATATGACAGAGTGAACGGTTAGTAAATTGTTAGTATTCTTTTCTAAGAAAATACTACTAGTAAAAGCTAAGCAATAAACATAAATTAGATACAATTTTCTTGTTGCATGGCATTCAAACCGATCGGATCTACCAAATCATACGTAAAATCTCAATTGTTCACATAGTTAGAGATTGACTAAACAGGACAACTAACTTGGATACATGGACAAATGGATTTAACAACACTTTTAAGAACAAATAATCACGAATCAGACCAGGCATGGTTTCATTGTTATTTGTTTAAGCCTGTAATGCATTGAGTTATTGTATATTGGTTTTAATATTTTGGGATCTGGCTATCAAGCTTAATTCATTCTGATCACATAAAGATTAATGAAATTTTACTACACAGGCATGCTTTTCGAATAATTGACAGTTGTGTACTAGTCACAAGTTCACTGAACAAATCTAAGATCTTTGAACCTTTGACAGTAATGTGTGGATGACACCGTTAACAGGAAGCAGTTTTACTCTTGAAGTCAGGGGTCTATTCGCATTAATGAAAAATATGCTACATCCTTTACATGATTACGGCAGAATATGATATACAACTAATGGTACTCGAACGTGTAGAACCCCACATTCACAAATCCGACGATGGAAGAAGCAAGGGAAGTGATTATTGGGTAGGATTTAGAAACGTACAGAAAAAAATTGTTATTCATAGTTATTAGCATTGGCTGTAACGTCATTATGATTCAGCCAATCAGCAAGGAGGCAAGTTATACTATTGCCTAAACGTAGCACGACACGTTGATATTCTAGAAGGCTCTGCCAGGAATGAAATTTCTTCGGCTTCTTTAGAGCATCTGGAGGCTCCATTATACTTCTATAAGTCGTATCAACAAAGTTTGACGAAAGTATACCATATCTCTGTTCTCAGAGCTTCGTTAAATAATTTCTATTCATAACTAAATAAATCTTCCAGGTTATTTTCCCTTATTTGTTCTCTGAACTACTAGTGCATTTTAATATTGAGCTTACACTTTATAAGCCAATAGAGATCTAGATAGTATATCTTGGTTTTCTGACTGGAATTCCACTACTGAAGTTAACTATCATACGCTTAATAAATGTCCTTATCATATAATTTGTCAACTATTTAAAAAAGGATTTCATGTGTTCAGAATTCGTCTAATACGTCATCACTGAGTGAAACTAACGCAAATCCAAATACATGAATTGATTTGATCTGTTGAGTTGTTTATGAGTTTTTTTTCTTTGTTTTTGTTGTTTTTTTTACTGTTTTTGTGACTTTAAGGCCAGCTAGTTATCACTTGATTTATTCGCCAATCGAAATACGACTTATTCAATCTTAGTACTGTGCTAAACCAATATCGTTCGACCAGTATAAGCAGCATAGCGTCCTTATTGGTCCTTTGTTCGCCTAACCCTACCCGTTGGGTTCAGAACACAGATAACAGCTTCCACTATGCGAATCATTTATTTCAAACATACTTAGTTTATATACAAGTCAAATAAACCACATTACATCATAAATTAGGAAATAACATTTATACAAGATCAAGTCATAATGTGGTTATGAACGTGAGAGACTGTAATCAATAAACTGAACATAATTTAAGAACAGTGAATTGTAATAATAATAATAATCTATAGGTCAAAATGAAGCTTATCATAAGGTGAATATATATATATATATATATATATATATATAATTAGTCCGCTAATAGTTCTCAGAAGTTGCGTACAATTAGTTCCCTTAATGAATTTAAATAGAGCCAGAACAAATATTGATGCAGAATAATATGATTTCACTATATATTGTGGTTTCTCATCCGCTATTTCCAACCAAATATGTGTTAGAATTTTAAATAGAGGTAAGAAATAGTATGAAACAATTGACATAAGTGAATGTAAAGAATTGGAATGACAAAGGCTATCAATAGTAGAATGGAGTTCAGAGACAGATAATATAAATTGTGTGATAATTTTAGAGGTAATGAAGGGTTTACATAAGATTCATGGAATTAAAAACTGATAAGATGGGTTATGTAATAATTGAATAGAACATGTGCTCACTAGTGACTAGCTTCGTGAGGGAATTCTCGGAGTTCTAGTGAGAAGCCGCGACCAGTGGAGCTAATCCTTGTCGGGTAGAGACAGATATCTACCTCAGTACAACGGACGTTGGTCGCGCAATTTCGTGGATTGGTTGATGTTAGAAACTATCACCATTGGATGTCGGCTCAGTGGTCCAGTTAGTTAAACGTTCGCGCGCGAGACCGAAGGCCCTGGGTTCGAATCCCGCTCACGGGATCGTGGATGCGCACTGCTGAGTCCCACAATAGGACGAAACGGCCGTCCATTGCTTTCAGGTTTTCAATTGTGATGGTCTCACATCAATCGGTTCATGATCTCAATCAGAAACTTAATAATCTCCACAACCCCTATACTAGAATTTGAAGAGTTCACATAATTTAAGAGAATCAGATGAATTGAAATGTATAAGTGAATGGGTGGTTTAGGAATTCGGCAATGGAAGAGAATTATAACACAAACTAAACATTAACAAAAAAAACTAATGATCAAATAAATACTCGTAATTTAATCTTCGCTACTTACTTACTTACGCCTGTTACTCCTCGTGGACGAACATCGGCCACCTACTAGCACTCTCCATCCAATACTGTTCTGGCCAATCCTTTCCAACTCTTTCCAGTTCTTATTCATTCTTTTCATATCTTCTTCTATTACCCGACATAATATGTACTTTAGTCTTCCTCTATAGGGCATATCTCATATAACAACTATTACATAATAATATCTCTTATCATCATTTATTTATTTATTTTCCATTCCTTTTTGTTTTTTGTTTTGTTTAAATGTTCCCTATCATCATTCATTCAAGTTGTCCAATGTTCAAATCAAATTTAAACAATCAATCAATAATTGGATTTAATTTTCAAATGAATCAATATGACAATGAAAAAGTATTCATATTTCAACCGAATAATCATAATAATAATTTATATCAATTACAAACTGGTTTATTTCATCTTTATTTAAATAAACAATCAATAATTGATTTAGATATAACACAATCAATCAATAAAACAATCAAAATGATAAAACCAAATATGGAAAAAATCAATACAAATAAAATCAATAAAAATGTTACAATGATTAATAATAAATCAATGAAATTAATAAATAAACCAATGAATTTATTGGATGATATATATAAAGAAAAATTAAATGAAATTGGATATAGAATACATGAATTAAAATTTACTTGTATATTTCGTATATGTAAACAATTAGCATGGTGTTCATGGGTAAGTTTGATTATGAGTGAGGTTGTTTTGCTTTTTTTTTAATGTCTGTATGTCTATTACATCTATGAAATTAGAAGATATTCATAAGTTGTAAGTAATTAGCCTTAGAAATACTACTCGCAACTGCTGGAATCATTGGGTAAGTAATAGACGTAGGGTGTTAGAGAATGATGAAGGTAAATCAGTCGGTGAGGTTGTGAATCTTTATCGACTGAAATGGTTGAGCCACGTGTTACATATACCTGAACACCGATTATCAAGACGCGTAATACTGACTAGTGTTGAGGATGGTTAGAAGAAAGTTATGACGGGGGGGGGCAAATCAAAACGTGGCATCAGTCCTTGAAGTCACTAACTTCTAGTCTGAACCATGTTGGTAGATACAGACTACTTGGTTAGGGTTCGCATGACTATCATAACCACTGGTTGGAGACTCTGTGTGATATGACTCGGAATCAGTGTCAGTACATACACTCTCTGTCTTCCCTTAAACTGTGAGGTGAAAATTACATTATACTTTACCTTCAACGAACTAATTCTTTCTTCCTTTTATATATTACCACCATTGAATTAATTGCTTCTGTGAATTCGGTGTTCATCTTTTTGTGTTAATGAGGTATGGTAACTTGGACTGATGCATATATGTGCCTGGTTCTACGTTGTAGTTGACTGACTGACTGATTCAGCCTACATCATATTTTCGAATTATTACACGTACATAGTTAAAAATTTCAATTTAGTTATGGTCAAGTTGTGAGTACATTAAAAAGAAATACGTTCGTGAGTGAAGACATAAACCTTTATCCATTAAGTTGAATGGGACATGTTCTATAGATGTTGATGTTAATGACCGCAATCAATCAATCTCTCTTCTAGTATGTATACATTGTAACGGATTGCAGCTATATTACTTTTAAATGACAAGAATTTTCCAGTGATCAGCATTGCAATCCAGGAAAAAAAAGCGTAATACTTGCGACTTTTTAGCTGAGTAAACCTAGACTACATTGTTGATATTCATTCTGTGACTCAAACTCAATTCATAAATCTTTTAGCTACTTGGTCAAAATAAACACTGACTAGTCCAATAAAAAATGAATTCAAATTCAGTGATCAGTTGCAATGTGATCTTAGTAGCTAACTAGATAATTACTTGAGCATTTGAAGTAAAAAACACTGAGCTTTAGTTTAGGGTTCAACAATAACACTGAAATACAATTTCATACATCTCATAAATCACACACATGACAAAAAAGCATATATCCTGGATTTCATTGTTTAACTCTATTTAGAAATAAAACGAAATAGTCTATTCAATTGATGATAAAGTAACAAGACACCTTCTGATATTAATTAACATATGCTCACTAGCGACTGGCTTCAAGAGGTATTTCCTCAAGTTCTAGTAAGAAGCAGTGATCAGTGAAGTTCAATCGGGTCTGTTGTGAGAAAGTAACTCACTGAAGACAATCGTAGATGTGTCGCTCAATTTCATGGATTAGTTGAAGTTAAGCATTAACATCATTGGATGCCGTCCAGCTCATCGGTCTAGTGATTAAGCGTCCGTGCACGAGACCGATAGGTCCTGTGTTCGAATCTCACAAAATTGGATAGTGGATGCACACTGTTCAGGGGCTTGCCGTCCAATACTTCAATTTATTCATGATTTCAACGATTAAATTTACTATAATATCCATAAAACTCCTTTCGATAATAAAAGTATGACTAAAATCTTTACAGATTGTAAAGATTTTATGGATTTACGGCGGAATTTTAAAAAATAATAGTTGATATCAACAATTAGGATTAATTTATGAAAGTTTGTCCTAATACAATCTGAATTTTGATAAACTCCAAGGATTTACTTAAATTTATTGTGTGTGTGTGTGCGCGTTTTCTTTCTGTTGTAATAAAACACAGTATCTGAGTGTTTCATTAATTAAAAATGATAATAAATGACAGTATATAAATATATAGAAATGGAGAAAGTGAGCAAGAGGTGGGGGTGGGATTCGAATAAGTTTATATCATTATTTATTTATTTGTTTATTTATTTATTTAAGCATGTCTATACTCTTTATACTAATTTAAATTAATGTATACCCAAAAGTATTGTCTCTATATACATATATCTGGGGGGGGGGTTATTAAACAATAATTAACTTACTAATACTACTATCATCATTCTTAGTTTAGAAAACTTTATGTCACGTAATAATAATTATCAATGAAACTACGGAAAATGATCTAAAATGTGGTCTGTAACTATCTGTCTGTGTCTGTATACTATGTGTGTGTTTGTGTGTGATTTGTGATCTGTGATCTAGAGTACTTTGTTGTTAACTGAGAATGTGGTTGATTTGAAAAACGAAACAAAAAAATTGTATTTATTTATGTATTCAACTATGTATATTTTTTTAAAAAATTTTCTCATGTTCTAATATGATAGACAAAATTAATTAAACATGAAATATATATGACTGGAAGAACAAAACCAACCAAACAGATAAATAAATAAACAACTGATCAAATTCATTTCATAGATCAGTACTCAAACGGCATATCAACAAGATTTGGCTAATAACTATACATAACACATACGAATATTCGTCAAGATTAGAACGAATAGTTTGACAGTAATTGAGCGCCGAGTATAGAGAAGTCATTATATGTGAAAACTATATTTGAAATATTCTCAGAGATTGAAACATAACTAATTTCAACGTTTCGTCCAGACAAGTTAGCTGGACGAAACGTTGGAATTAGTTATGTTTCAATCTCTGAGAATATTTCAAATATAATTTTCATATATATAACATAATTATCATGTCATTAGAAATAAAGAATAAATCTTTTTTACTATCTGTGTTTGTATTTGTCCATATTTACTATGGAGAACCTTCAATAATTAATATTGTATAACCATTCAGGTCACTATTTTTTTTTCTTATTTCATCAGCTCATATGAAATTAATGATAATGAAGAATTAAGTTGAGTCTAGTCTCCATGATAGATGTTCATTTATTATGTTACTTAATAAACAAATCATCTTGTTTGAATGTTGATATTTTGCAAGAGAGATTTAACGTAACATTGTAGTTAGTAGACTGATTAATGGATATAAGGTTAATGAATAATGTTTATACATATTAGAAAACATAAATAAATAATATATTTGTAATATTCTAAAATTAGATTTTCTGACGTTTCGTGATTCAGTGTAAGCCACTTCTTCAGAAAACAATGAACCAAATTTAAAACAATTAGTCCCTTTGATGAATTTCGATAATGCAATGAGAAGACGTAGTTTATTAGAATTATGTGATATATATATATATATATATATATATATATATATATATATACCCTTTGAAGTTCATAAACCGCCGGAAGGGTTGCATTATGACTAGACCTATGACGCTTCTGGCACCCTAAAAGCGAGTTTATATTACGCTACCATTCAGAGGTGACACAAATAGTCTCATGTTGAAACAGAGACTTAAATTAGCTATCAACCGGACATTTTATGCAGCCCAACTTGTCATTATCGAAAAGACAAGGTCTATGTTTCACCAAAAGCCCAAACAGCATGAAAACGATTGTGTCACATCCCATTGTGTCTATAAATTTACATGTATGTGTGGAAACACGTACGTAGGGAGGAGCAATCGTGATTTGCAATTGAGGGTGGTTGCAGAATCAGATGAATTCCAATGGTGAAATAAGATCACAGGATAGACAGACATCATCATCCATTGCGAAAGATTTGATTGAGACGGGTCATAAGGTTGATATCAAATCAGCAGTTGTTGTGTTGTACAAAAGCCTTCAAGGACGTATACTAAGGTTTATTGAAGCCTTGGCTATACGAAAATTGAAACCCCCTTTATGTGTTCAAAAACAATTTGTACTTACACTTAACCTACCCTATTAGTACTGATTTACTATCCAGAGTGGTAATCACATTTGTTTTTGTGTACTTTAATATTTTTCCTTTGTTTTGACTTAACCTTAACCTGTCTAGTTGACCTTTTAATTTTTCATATATAAATGTTCTTAACAAGTATATGTGTGATCAGATTGTTTGAAATGTATACATATCACATAATTCTGATAAACTACGTCTTCTCGTTGCATTATCGAAATGAACCAAATAAAAATTAATACAAGTTCAGATCGTATAACGGAACAACAAGAATCTAATTTTTTCTACTCATTAGGATATTACAAACATATTATTTATCTATGTCAATCTATCCAATGCTCAATTTATTCGAAATTATCAAGTCAAACCTTGGTAACGACACATGTTAGGAAAGTTATTTTACTATGCTATTGGAATTTCAAGAAATCAGAAGTCGTTTTTCTTGTATGAGTTCACTAGTTAGATATTTTTGGATGAATGTCGAATTTTCAACATTCTCAGTAGAATCTACTTAATATAAAATGAACATGAGAGCTTTAAACGTTAAAGGATTTCTATGATAGAATAATTAAAGATTGAAGATGTAGAATTTAATAGTTCAGTTCATGAGCTGATTATACCTAGACCACCATTGGAAACCTGGAAGCACTAGAAGGCTCTTTTGTCCTAGTATGAAACTCATCAGCAGTGCGCATTCACGGTCTGGTACGCATGTCTCGAATCCAGGACCCTCTGTGCCACGCGTGTACTCTTAAACTCTGAACCGTTGAGCCGGTGTCCATCTGTGTTAATGTCTAACTTCAACCAGTCCACAATATTGCGCCACTGTCCACTGAGTAACTTCAGTGAGTATCTGCCTCACAACAAACCCAGTTGAACTCCATTGGTCACTGAGATCGTAGATACATATTTCTGAAAAGTCCTTTCTTAGAACAAAACGGTCGTTCAGTACTTCCAGATTTTTTATGATGGTCTAGCTTTAATCAACTCATGAATTTAATTATTAAATTATTACAACCTCTAAAAACCCTCATTCTGACGTAGAAAGGAAAAATACGAGCATAAAAACATTAT